ATCGATTTTTGATAAATCATCATATTTGTGTGAATGTTTATTTAGTGCTATGGCAATGCTAATTACTAGAAAAAATGGTACTTTTCCAATTATAGAGCATAATGCGACTCAGTAGCGCACAATGCCGAATTAAGCTGATTCTTAATTGGAACGTGAATTAGATTTCAAATGCACCAGCAGAGTGCGCTATGTTGTGTTGAAAAAAAATATATACAAAGAGTCAGCGATAACCTCATTAATGTGTAAATAAAGAAATATTCATAATGATTGCTTGAAAATTATTTACAGTTATTATAATTCGACGACCTCCGTGGCCGAGTGGTTTGTACGCCGGGTTTCATGGTGTCGCCGACTCGAGAGGTCCCGGGTTCGAATCCCGGTGGGGGCAGATGTTTGTGTGATGAACACGAGCATTTGTACTCCAGTCATGGATGTTTAATATGTATTTCTATATAGATATACTTATATATGTACAGTATATGTATTCTATCCGTTACCCTAGCATCCCATAACACAAGCCTTACAGTGCTTACTTTGGGGCTAGGCTAATTGGTGTGAGTGTTGGAAATATTTATTATTATTATTATTATTTATTATAATTAATTTGGATTATGATTATTTCATTAACATTTTTTTGGTTTCAGTAATTTTTTTAAAAGAGATTTAAAAGATTGATGTACTTTTTAATTGAATCATCTTACCCCGATGATAGTGATGATGCAGATTTATCGAGGACTCTGAGTTTAAAGCAATGAAGTAGTTGGTATCGATTGCACGCATCACACGAAAACATTACTTCTGAGAGTGCTCGATTGTGCGAAGCGTTGCTGTACAGTTTGTCTATAAAGTCGTGACATTAAATTATGGCGCCACTAGTATGCATGTAGCAACCCTATACAGTCTGACCAAAATGATTTTGATGCTACCAGTTCATTCAAGTAAAATAGGTAATTAATAAGACACACTATACAGTCATATTTTGTTTCTGTTTTGTATATAGTACTTACCTATGCTTATAAAAAGTTTAGCCAAGCATTGAATCAGAATAAAATTATTATAGATAAAATAGAACTTTATAGTGTAAAAGTGTGTAATGTTGGTGATTACCGCTGAGGTGCCATTGAGACCAGAGCCGTTCGATAATCATCAATACACACAAGTATCATCATACGATGTTTTTTAAGTCACTTGTTAAGAAAATAATACGAAAAATCATTTTATAGTATATAAAAAGTTTATTTAGAGAAACAATTTGTAAATGTGCTGTTAGTAAAATTAGTGATAGGTATATGAATATGAAAAGCACCTGGCCATGGTTCTTTAAGTGACCATTTCTTTCTTTGGTCGGCCTTGCCTGTTTTCCCAGGAGTTTCAAACTTTCCATAATTCCTAAAACCTTCATTGACTATCTGACTCTCTGATTTTCCTGAAAAAAAGGTAAAAAAATATGTAACGGAATAGAAACAATAACTTATTGACATGAAGCAATTAATTCAAAATTGGTAGAAAACCTGACCGAGTTGAACCATAATAACGTATCAAAAGAAATGGTCGTACTACAATATTACCTATTTACAATGTCAATGTAACCTAAAAATGTGCAATGTAAACAATGCCTTTTTTGGTCTCAAAATCGTAAATTGAGTAAATTTGTAACTTCAGGCAGATTACAAACAAATAGTTACATGATTACATATCCGTCATAGATGCTGTTCGCCTATAAACATCATCCAAATCCCACAAAATTCATCCAGCTTGGTAGTCTTCGAAACATCGCTGGAAAACTTTAAAAATCACTTCCCGCGTGCCACTCCGATTTACTTTACTCATTTTTATACCTATCTGCGTAGTTTCGTCTTAATTTATTACAGTTTAATCCAAACAATAAAAAATGGGTGCGTGTACTTATGTAGGCGCGTGAGAAGTTATCCTTCTTTGGCATCGTTTAAAATTAGTAGTTAATTGCATGCAAATAATTAATTACAATAAATTAATAAAAAGTCTGGAAAAGGACACAGTCAATAAAGTTCAGTTTTAATTTGAAAAAATAAATAAATAATCAAATTATTCAATTAAAATCGCTACTGAATATAATTTATTAGAACATATGTGATTTGCACTTGTATGAAACTCAAACACGTATTCCGAATATACAAACTAGAAACATGTGGATAAATATTATAAATATGAATACCTATAACTGTTACTTTACTACAAAAAATAAAGATGTGGTTTTTGGTTCTACTACACCAATGGTCAAGGGATGGCCCTGTAGTCTCCTGAATCGCGCTTTGGTTCCGTTGTTCCAGATTAATAAATACTTTTGATATTATAAATATGAATATCTATAACTGTTACTTTATTACAAAAAATAAAGATGTGGTTTTTGGTTCTACTACACCAATGGTCAAGAGATGGCGCTGTAGTCTCCTGAATCGCGCTTTGGTTCCGTTGTTCCAGATTAATAAATACTTTTGATAGGCCTTCACAATGCAGTCGTTAGCACCCACTAAATAGAGATTCTATTTCTATTTTGTTGGTAGATTTTCTTAATGTGCGGTAAACACAAAAGTAACGCATGAAATTGGTCGCTAAAGCGACCAACTTCATGCTGTTAAAATTTTGTGTTACAGTGTTGCGCGCGCATCTTAAAATTTCACTCTCATCATTTTTTCATAACGCGCCTAAAGAAGTACAACTTCAAAAATACAAAAGGAAAACTGTTCTACAACTGAAACTCGATGACAGCTGATGTACATAAGTTTGGTGTTGCCAGACACATGAATAAGGCCGTATACGGAAAGAAAGCCGAAAGCCGATCGGCGCCGATCCTTCCTACATAAAGGAAGCCGATTAAAGCAGATCAAGCAAAATATCGGACTCATCGGACGATGATCTGGTTTTGTTAGAAAATGTGTATTTAAAAATGCGAAAAAAAACTATACTTCCTATAAATAGAGAAAGGAAACGTTTCGGAGAATACCATCATTTATTTGTAAAAAAAATGAAATTTGATGAACAAAGATTTTATACATATACAAGAATGATTCAAGAAACATTTTATTACATTTTGGATTTATTGAAAAACCTTTTGATGAAAAATTGGTGCAATTGGCATAAACAACCAATCCTTCCAGAAGAAAGACTTGTTGTCACCATTCGGTAAGTACGAAACAAATAATTTTAGCGCTTAGTTAATAAAAGATAAAGTTATTAGATTTATAAAAAGATTATAACTTAGATTGATTTAATCTAAGGATAATAATTCAAATACAAATTATTTATTATTCGGACCAGCGCGTGTCGGCGCTTATCGGCGCCGGTCCATAGAAAAAGGATCAGCGCCAATAGGCGCCGATAAGGCTTTCGGCTTTCTTTCTGTATACGGCCTAATGTCAGTTCCTTAAACATTCATGTCAGGACTTTATAGACAAACTGTAGTTAGGGATGAAACGATACCATCTAGGTATCGATACATTTACTCGATACTGTATCAGTGGTCATAAAGTATCAATGCTTACTCGGTATCGATGAAAAGTATCGGTACTTACTTGTATCGAAAAGTTTATATTATTCTTGTTAACAAAAGAACGGCTAATGCCACGCGATGTACGAATACCTGACTGAAAAATTGGAATAAATATAAATCATACTCAAAGCTGTCAACTGAGCAGTAGAAAAGATGCGTTCGCGAAATAAAAATTCCAACTAAATAGCTTACCATAGAGTAAACAATCTGCCTATGGGTGTTTCTAATACTTCTCAGTGAGTTACTACTTCACGATACTACTTGTTACTCAGTTCTAAAATATCGATGCCAAAAGTACTTGGTATCGAAAGTAAAGTGTCGAGTAGTTACTTGTATTTACTCGTATCGTTTCATCCCTAGCTGTAGTTGAAACTAGCAATGCGCGACTACGAATGATTTTACCTTTCGACTAATTCGCAACTACTAATTTGGCTATTCGAAAGGCAAATTAGTAGTATACCAATGTCATTATTCGAATAACGACTACTAATTGGTAATACTAATGTCAAATTTATGAGAGCGCAACGAATAAGGTTTAGGTTATTCATTCGTTCGTTCATCATTTGCCTTAGTTCAGATAGTTTCCGTGCGTTCGTACTTGGCACCTGCTATATCTTGTATCTGTTATTCATTATTATTTTTTCAGTGAAAACTATATTTACTAGTGAATTTTTTAATTATTTCTTGATTTATTTATATTTTTAAAATTAAAGAGTTAGTATAGCAGTGAGTTTAGAAATCGGACAGTTAAGCAGTGGTGTCGATTCTGGCATGATTCTCAAAACCTAAACTTAAATTTAACAACAGTCTATCCTTGACAATCTCTATTCAGAATGAAAAGGTCAGATTGATGTTAAAATTTAGTTTTAGCTTTGGAGAATCATATCAGAATCGACACCAGTATGTATTAAACTGGAAATTCCCAGTCCAAACGATTCGAACTCGACAAGACCGTAAGTGAATTCGGTACTTTGCTTACTGTACGCATAAGTGTAAATCGGCCATAAAGAAAAAAACCCTACGAAGAGGCTTTATGAACTTAGTATTCTTTGCCTTTCTATAAAGAGAGAGAAAAGAACATAAAAAAAACGGCTTTTTTGGCGGGATTTCATCGAGTGCGGTTGGCGTCTTATTTAAATTATTCTTAAATTCGTTCATAGTGGATATTGTGAAATAAAATTGGTGTGGTTTTGTGTAACAACTGTCTGCGTAACTGAAGAATTAGCGGAATCATTAAAATATACGCTATTCCGGTCAAGTGGACGTGAGAATTTTATTGTAGTGTTGACTACCTCACAGAAGCTTATCGAAGCCAACTCGATACATTTCGTGCCAAACACTCCAAGAAACATTAGAATGCGTCACACCGACATTCTAATATAAAAATAAAAAGAAGATAAATTTAGTTAAAGACTAGGCTGTATGGGCATTGTTCCCTTTGCCTTCCCTAAAACGGGAGAACTTCAACAAACACAATGGAGCGCCACTTTTGCGACGACGTTTGTGTTTTCACATTTTGATTAAACGTCTGCATTTTACTGTGACTTTACTAATGATGTGGTGTCAATACATTAGTGCATATATTAAGTAATTACCGAAAGGTGAAACCCACAGTTTATTGTGTCTGTGATTGAATAAAAAATACTACCAACGTAATCATGGCGGATCCTCTCAGTTTGCTTCGCCAATACAATGTAAATAAAAAAGAAATAATTGAACGTGACAATCAAATAATCTTCGGTGAATTTTCATGGCCTAAAAATGTTAAGACGAATTACCTTATGTGGGGGTAAGTAGAAACACAATTTAGCTTATCATCCCATTTTGTTTAAATTTTATTTTATACCACATATGTTCATTGAATTTTTTCAGTTCCGGAAAAGAAGGCAGTGTCAAAGAATATTACACACTGGAATGCCTTCTTTTTATTCTCAAAAATATTAAGCTTTCACATCCAGTGTATGTTAGACAGGCAGCAGTAAGTAAAATGATGAATTAAGAGTGTCAATTATGAAAACGATCTTATTCAATGTTAAATTGTTTTTTTTTGTCTAGGCGGCGAATATACCTGCTGTGCGTCGTCCAGATCGTAAAGAACTACTGGCTTACTTAAACGGTGAAACAGCTACATGTGCTTCAATTGATAAAAGTGCTCCTTTGGAAATTCCCACTCAGGTGATAATCCTATTTGTACTACCTACTAAGTGCTCCTTTGGAAATTCCCACTCAGGTGATAATCCTATTTGTACTACCTACTCATGCAGTGTCTTGATCACATCACTTTTATTTTATTTTTTCAATGAGTAGAGACAAAAAACTCCATTATTAGTCTAAGATCGTTCTACATTTACCCTGCCAGCCAGCCTCTGCCTATAACATTAAAGTAATAAGTGGGATTTCTACCGGATTCCTCTTTTTATGAGTCTGATGTTTCGGCACTTTTGCAAGTGCCATCAGCACGGAGTTACTCCATGACAGTACATGGTAGCAATTCTGCTAAATACTATAATGTTAGTCACCATGAAAGTTTAAAACAATATATGTCTATAATTTTTTTTTCTTTTTTCTTCTAAGAAGAAAAAATATTATCTCAAGGAAAAACAAGGATCACAGTCAATTTAGAAAAAGCTGGAACATTATCCTATAAATTTGTCAGACCACACAACCCTTCCTTTGTATGACAGGATAAATTATATACAGGTAAACAGGATAGCTAACCACCGCCTGTGGCTCTTCTTCCTGTGATTCTTTTATTGCACAAACTATTTGATCAGTTAAATAGTTTATTGAAAAGCAATTCATTTTGGGACATTACAAACTAGTGAAATGATTAGATCTGTGTTTATTCCTCTAGTGGCAGGTTTTATTTTGTACAGATACAGGACAAATTGAAGTATATTCCAATATGGTATATTTACATGGCTGTTGAATTGTCTGTTCAATGCTGATCTCCTTTGTAAACTAGTCAGTAGTCTTTAATCTGTGATTCAGAAGCAGTTGTTTCTGTAGGTGGTGGTAAAATGTGTATATTTTATGGATTATTGATTACATTTTATTAAAATAAAGAAAAATAGTTTTACTTTGAATTTTTAGGTAAAACGCACACATGACCATGAGGGTGGTGAGTCTGCTGCTAAAAAACCTCGAATTGAGGAGACACATGTCCAAAAAGTACGAGAGCAACTGGCTGCTCGTCTTGATGCACCAAAAGAGGCTTCTGTCACAGTTGATAATATCAAGTAAATTTCTTCACTATATTATCATTTAGAAAATAAAAAATGTTTTCATGTTAAATGTTTCCAGTAATCATGTTGAGTATACTAACATTAAGTACTCTTCTAGTAATTGTTGTATAAAATTATTTTGTAACCAAATTTCAATCAGTTACAATAATCAAAAGTAAAGGAGGGTATAAAAAAACTTTGCTAAGTTATTTTTTGGTCTTCACAAAAACTATGGACTAACTGTCTATCTTTTTAACTTTAATTATTTTAAATAGTATGTTAGCAATATATTTGTTTTTTTTTAGATCCTTATCAGAAGCTATGTCAGTAGAGAAAATTGCAGCAATTAAAGCCAAACGTTTAGCCAAGAAAAGGACTACCATTAAGAGTAATGACTACTCTGATACTTTAGGAGTAGTGGGGTCAGATTTAAGAGCCATTCTTGACTATGATGTTGATCTTACTAAAGATATTATCAGCCGAGAAAGGCAGTGGAGAACTAGGACAACAGTATTACAGAGTAATGGAAAAGTAAGTCTATATAAACAACGAACTCAGAGTTGTATATTATGTTGCTCTTACATAATAACAATAGGACAATATCTATGCCTTATGAGCCATTATGGTCTTAAGTTCATTTAGATGAATTGTATATATTATTTTGCAGATGTTTGCTAAAAGTATATTAGCTTTGCTGGGCAGTATAAGAGCTCGTGAAGAGGGTAGACCGGGGATACCAAGACCTCAACCAGTGGTAATGCCACAACCAACTAATATTCCAGCACAACAAACACAATATAACAGATACGATCAGGAAAGGTTTATTAGACAGAAAGAGGGTAAGTGCAATTCATTAATTGCTTGTAAAATAAAATTTCGTGATTATATAATCTCACAATGTGAAAAGGTATAACTATAAAATAACGTATTCTAATGGAAGTTTTTTCTTTTGCAGAGACGGAAGGCTTCAAAATTGATACTATGGGTACATATCACGGCATGACCCTGAAGTCTGTGACAGAAGGTCCAAGTGTTCCAGTTGCGGCTCGTGCTCCCCAAACCCCTACACACCCACGTCAAATGTCTCGTAAGTTTGTTTTTTTTTACAACAAAATAATCTTCAGTTTCCTAGACAAGTTAATGTAGAAAATATGTATCTATACAATTAGAACTTGAAGCAGCTTGATGGCGAGTAAAGCAAGTTTCGCCATGGCCAGTCATAGGATGGGTGGCCAATAATGTATTATCACCAAAAATGGCTAAAGCTGTTTTAATCTGGCTCCAGCTATAGTCCTTAGCACCCACCAACCGCAGTCTGCCGGTGTGGTGGTCACAGGTTCAAACTTTATTCTGTAATGTTTATTTAAAAATAATCAAATATTACTTTTATACTTTTTGCGTTAAAGTTACTTTTTATGCTCTTTGGAACCAATATTGTTTCCCCTTGAATTTTACCCCTTATATTTTTGATGTGTTTTTCCTCAAGTTTATTTGGATGTGGTTGTACTGGAGAAGTTTGGCAGCGACTTATACAGAAATAAATAGTCAACAAAATTCGTGTGTAACAAAATATAAGATATATTTTATATCTGTAAAAGTGGCGGTAAACTTCTTTGTATGTAAAAGGCTTTCTTGTCTAATTTGTTGCGTAAGAAGTTTGCCGGCATGTAATAACATAATTTACATGTTGGTCCTTCAAGCTGGATATGAATGATGACATTGATAGTCTAATGATGGTAAAACACCAAATTATTCTCGTGAGAGGAGCTCGATGGCGCAAGTGGTAAGCGCGTTCGGCTGCGATTGTTGAAGTTAAGCAACTTTCTCAGTGGTCGAGCATTGGATGGGTGACCAATAATCTTCTATCTTGAGTTCCACCGTGCTCGTTAAGCCGTTGGTCCCGGCTGCATCTGCAGCCGTTAGCAACCGCCAATCCGCACTGGACCCGCGTGGTGGGTCATGGCTCAATCTCCCTATTCCATCCATAGGGAAGGCCTGTGCCCTAGCAGTGGGGACATTAATAGGCTGATGATGATGATGATTCTCGTGTTGGTCTAGAAAACGGGTCGATGTCGAACAGTACCCCGGGTCGGCGCGAACTGTTGCCGGTGACAGCAGCGCGACCTCCGCCCGGCGCGGGGGGCAAACGGCCCTCACGCACCCCCATCATCATCATACCGGCCGCCGCCACCTCGCTCATATCCATGTTTAACGTGAAGGACATGCTGCAGGAGCTCAAGTGAGTACAGCACAGCGTTGCCAGACGTCCCGATTTTTAAATCAAAATGAAAATTCCCGCGCGGGACTGTCTCAATCCCGCTTTTCGGGAATAACTCGACCGTGCGTGCAGCGTACTGCGCAAGCGCGGGCCGGTGGCACAGAAGTGTGGACTGGTCGCCTGCCCGGCGCGAAAAGAAGAAAAATATTCAATAACTTTTGATTATATACGTTTTTTTTCTATGACCCACTTTCGACGAAATAATCCTGCTTTTTTCACTCAAAAAGATCCTAAATCCCGACTTGGCAAAAGAAAAATCTGGCAACTCTGGTACAGCACCACTGGCGCACGATGTACACTGTGCCGGCCTCGTATACTGTCCCAAACAACGTCCATCATCATCATTCCATATGAATACATTTGGAATCGTACTCCAAATTAGTGGCGGCTGTGAAGTCCGTGCAAGTCTGAGTACAGTAAATGAAATATGGGTTGAAGTAAGAGCGCGCCAGATGTCGCTGAGCTGAAATCTGTGTATAGTTGCGCTCGTTGCTAACTTCACAACGTAAAGTCGCTGGCAAGAACTTCGTTCATATCATATTTATTATCTTTAGGGGCGTATTTAGCCTAGGCCCAAGGGAGCCATGGACCGGTTATTAACCTATATTCTGAATTGATTTACTAATCCCAGGAGGTGGAGGGATAACTTTCCTAAAAATTATAAGACTAAAATGACGTCACACGCTAGTATACTTCCGGTCATTGACAAGTGACATAACATTGTATTGTTGGACGTTTTAGTGAAAGGCGTCACAGACTAGCGAGACTATAATGTCCAGAGAAACTTTGTCGTGGCAACTTGAAAATTTAATTTTTTTTTTTCAGTTTTTTTTCTGAAATACACAACAGAATTATGAATATCCACTATTTATGGACTCTTTAAACGTTCGTGAGATCGTTTTCTAAAACTTGTCAAATACCCAATAGGGTATCGTAATAACGATAGAAAATAATAACATCATATTGTTAATACCTATTACGACAGAAAATAAATACAAACATCATGTTGTTCAACATAAAATTCTCAGAATGAAATTTGTAGATGGTGAAAGTGCGGCCAACGAAAGAATGCGACTCTTATAATTCGATCCTTTTCATTTTCGATCTAGTAAAAAAAAGATTCGGAAACCATTCGCCACTGACACGATCTGTCAGGGTCATATTCTTCCGTTGGCCATTATAAGCCACTTGATAATATATTTCGATCTCTTGCAGGTTCGTACCAGTAGAACAGAAGAAAGCCGAGGGTGCAGTACGTGAAAATGAAATACTTCTGCAGAGAAGGAAAGGCGCTGGCGACAATGTCCCCGCGACTAATGCTACAACCACAACTGTGAGTTATTTATTTTTCTAATATTATTATATTCATTTTAACTGTACTTATTAAAATAGGTTGTGTTCTGCCAGTCTACCACAGACATGCACAAATCAAGTCCTCCATTGGATTGCACCTGGAACGTTTGCTTTACATTTCGGAACCATGTAACACATACATTTCCCTTAATCGGTCTTAAACAGTTCCACAGTGCATTGTGTGGAGCATGTGTTTAGTAAATATAAAAATATATTTTTCATCCCACCACCTCGGAAAGTGTAATTTTGCGCTTCGAAATCTGGCTGGAAAATTCTATTTTATTCGCTTGAGCGGCAAAGTAGATTTGAATTTAGAACATCACATAAATAATGAGTACTCAATATAATTGTAAATTCAAAACGTCATTAAACCTATTTAATGTAACCTCTATGGTGCCAAATTTATGATTAGAACTTTTTAAATTGTGAAAAAATTTAAATTTGGAACCTTCTTGGTTTCTTTGTTTTATTTGCGTGCTTCGCGCCATTCTAGTTTTTCACGTTTTATTGCTTAAATATTTTGTCATTATAAATTGTTTTCTTTTTCATTTTGTCATTTCCTCGCTGAGGTGGGATGAAAAGTTACGTATTGCACTCGAGTGGAAAGATTTTTCACCTTGTGCTCGTTTGTTTCCCTCGCTGACGCTCAGGATTCTAATTTAGAATCACTCGCTGCGCTCGTGATTCAACTTTAGAATCCTTCGCTTGCTCGGTCATCCAAATCGAGCACGCGGTTAAAAAGGAACTTTCCACTCTTGTATAATAAATAACTATTTATGGCTAGGACTGCCAAGTAATTAGTTATTTCATTATTAATATATTAATGAATATCTTATTAGTAAATTATTTTACCTAAAAAACTAAACAGCAATATTATTGTAATTATCAATTAAGCAATGAACAAAAACAAGTCATATTATCGTAATCATTACTTCAGTACCAACTAACTTGACTGACTAATATCGTCAACAGTAACGGTCGGACCTACTTCAGTTGGTGTTTCGTTCGTTTGCATGTTTAGATTCCTTCAAACCTGTCCGGAACCATGACCTGTTTCGTTCGTTCGCATGTTTCAATTCCTTTAAACTTGTCCGCAACTATGAACCTGTTTCGTTTGTTGCAATGTCTTGTTCCCATAAACATGACCGGAACTATGAAGTGTAGTGTTTGTTTTTAAACAGAGCGTGACACTGACACACGTAGGACAGCTGTTTTGTCTATGATAGCGAACCGCTTACGTCAGCGTAGCTGTCAAACTTCATTGATTGGGTTGGTAGCCTTGAGGGAAGAGTCGATTTTCCTATTCGACTAAAATATTCGCCTTGAGACTTATGAAAAGTAATCAGGCGGGAATCTCTGTGGGGGCGCGTGGATGAATGGATGGAGTTTGACAGTTGTTGAATTTTGAATAGTCTTTCCCAGATCGATTTGAGTCCTCCTTATCGGGTGCTGTTTTTTAATCGATTTTGAATTTTACTCGAAATTGAATTTCCTCGCTGATTTGGGTAGGTATTCCTTTTTCCTCAGCTTACGGCGAGCGTAGGTATATAGTTTTGAGTTTATTCTTCGGTTCGTCTCGAATGCGGCGGCTGTCTGTTTGACTGTGGTCTTTGCCTTCAGTTGAAGTGGGAAACAAATCATAGACACATGTTTGGGGAGTGGACGAACCGTCTATCATCTATGAGCAATTGTCAAAACAACTTTTAAAATTTCACAATCTGTTTGTGGTACAGTTAACTTTTCATCTTTTCTTCTGCCCAAAGTATAATAAACGGCATACTATTGTCGTCGAAGTCGTGAGATAGATCCGAAAAGTTTATATCCCGAGGGATATTGGCGGAAAAAGCGCGGAGTCGCTAACCGAACTGAGTTTCGTAGGTATATTGGAGTGGCTCTTTTTCCTACATAATTTGCAAGTTTGGGCTGTGAAAATAACCTTTCTGTTGATATTCTGTATCGTAGGTGGACGAACACGAACCTCCGCAAGGCTATTGCAATAATAAGGCGGTAACTTGTGATAGGAAACAAAATACTTACGGATAGTTTCATATTTCGAACGGTAAGCTATCATCTGATCTCATATTTATTCTCCTAGCACTAATTGAACTGCATTATGCACAATATAGTGATTCTTGTCATCAAATATACCTAATCATTCTTGTCAAGTTAGTGAACGTGGAATTGATTTTCTTCAAACCGGGTGGGACGGCCCCCCAGTTCTGTAGTGATTCAAATTTTAAAGTGTAAACATTGACCGTGAATATCCCTCACTCCCTCACCCACCACAGATGTGGTAATCTATGTATTTTCCCCATATCTGATCATTCTTTTTCAATGTGAACTTCAGGCTTGTACGTTCCCCTCAAGAAATACTGGAGGACTAACAAGGAGACTTTTGTTCTGTGCACGGACCAGAAGGGGCGCGGGAGTTTATTTGCCAGCCGCTCTCCGGCTTTATGTAACCCGGCCGAACAGCAGACAGATTATACACAGCTTAACCTATCATAATCAAGGTATTTCTCTACTAACCCCGGGTGAACGTGAAAAGGAACCAAGGAAGGCGAGGTTGGACCCCGACTTGCCCATTTCCATATATTTACATATATCTATATAGCTGGTTATCTCACTGAGAACTAGAATTAACTAAGTTTGTCACCAATATCGATCAAACGAGCCGTAGAACCTCTGAAATCCACTAAATAGCTTATTCAGTATAGTCTATGTGGTATTTGTGGATAAAAAAAAATATTAGTAAGTATTATATTGTAAGTACATGGTAAAGTGTTATGAATGTCTGATATTCTTATAATTATAACCTTTCCTGACAACTTGTTGGTTTATATACACATTAACTTTGAACTACTGTATTCAGCTTAGATATTTATAATTAGTGAAACATAGTTATTATATAAATAATAAACATAGTTGGACTTGTTGATTTATATAAGCAATAACTTAAAACTACTGAATTCCTATGCTTTGGTATCTAAAGTGGATAAAATATACTTATAACATTATCTTAATTTTTTGGTTTTCTTTTATTGTTCCCCCGGTGCTCTGAGTAAGCTAGTAAAGAGCTGTGGAGGGGAATTTAACATCACAGAAGCTGTTCATGAATACCTAGGAGATAGTTTGCGGGAGCTTCATTAGAATTACAGTATAAATTGTAATTAGTTACTAAATGGTAGTTTTATTAAAACGGAATGTTTTGTTTTGTGATGATAAAAAGTTTCATTGCAAATTCAAACTTGGTTTCTGCACTATTAGTATCTTATTTGATAGCAAGGAGATAAACACTTCGGCAAACTTCTTGAGCGTTGACCACAGATAATATACAACTAGGGGCCGACCGCGACTTCATACGCGTGGAGTTAGTTAGAAATATAGGTTCACTGCTCGTTACCCGTATTTGATAGCGTGATAATATGTAGCCTTTAATGTTGACCCGACTTATTAATAATATTCGTGACAAATTTGAAATAAATCCATGCAGTACTTTTTGAGTTTATCCCGGACATACATACAGACAAATACAGAAACAGCAAAAAATTCTAAAAACTATATTTTTGGCTTCAGTATCGATTGTAGATCACACACCAGGTATTCTTTAAAAATAATATTCAATGTACAGTTTTGACTTTCCTACCATTTTATTATATGTATAGAAAACGTCTACTGCGCAAGTTTATTTGTCTGTGGTTTTATTCAAGAATTTTGCCGCTACCTTTACAATCGCCGTGCTACTCTACTCGATATAAAATAAAAGAACGTATTATATCACGAGCGGTAATTTAGAGTGTTAATATTTACATTTCCTAACACTTCTCCGCTAGGTGCCTTACCGAGTGGTAGACAACCCGGCTAGATTATCGGCCGCCGAATGGGACCGCGTGGTGGCCGTGTTCGTTCAAGGCCCTGCCTGGCAGTTCAAAGGGTGGCCTTGGGACGGCAACCCTGTGCAGATATTTGCTAATAGTAAGTGTAATATTGTTAAGATTACGATTATTTTGAGAGATGGCGTTGACTTGCAGCCTAAAAAATACTAGAAGAAATTTGACATGGTCATTTGGGCCGCGGTAACATAATTGGTCAGTGCATCCGCCCGGATAGCGAGGGTGCGGGTTCGAGTCCCGTCTGCTGCCTTGACCGCGTGGAATTTTTTCTAGTAAAATTTTCTTTATACTTATTATATTGTTAAGACTAAATGTTTTATGCTCATCGCCTATATTCCCAATTTCTACATCAAGAGAAAAACTAGAGTGACTGATTAATACAGTTATTTTTCCTGTGCAGATGGGAAAAGTTTATCAATGTAGATAGGGAAATGTCCAAAACTGTTGCTAATAACCAGCTGACATTGTTCCTTGACCACATCTTAAGTTCAGCCATATGCTTATAGAATGAACTGAGCATTCTCTACCCAACTGTAAAGTAACAGTGAGCCGATATTATGTGTCAGAGACGAAGCGATCAGGTATCCCATAGTTCCTATAGATGTTGACTAATTTTCTCATTTTTTTGGAGAGTTGTGACTGTCGCTCAGTTACTTCTCTGTGACTATGAATCCAACCAATATCAATTTCTACCTTATGATGCTCTCCCAACGCGTTGAGTTGGGCGGTGACCGTGCGCAACCTGTTACATTAATGACTGTTACATCCAACGAATTAGAAATAATATGGAATACGAACTGTGCTAAAATATGTTTCCACGCAAAGTACGATAAAGCGGGTGGGGCGAAAAAACTACGATCAACACGCCGATTATAGGATTTGTTGGGATTTTCATTTAACATTATCTTATCCAATGAATGGATAGCTGAATTCATTTGCAGATATTTAATTTGTCAAAATATTTTGTTTTGTCTGTGTGCGTGTCGCGTCGCATTAAAGTTTAGTTGTATGAGTTAGGAACCATGTTTTAGCAGCCTTTAATTGATAGTAAAGCCCGTCACAGACGTAGCTATAATATATATTAATATATCGAAATATATATTATATTATAGCAAACTACCACAGAGGGGAGCTATACTATAATATATATTTTGCCCTCACTCGGTCTGCGGTCGTTTTTGCAAGCGCACGGTTTTAAAGCTTATTTTATAGCACAGGGTGTTTTAATTTTGAAATAACGTTAAAATCAATCTTACCGAAATGAATTCGACAAGAGCACTACTTTTAGATTTAATTGAAAGTTCCTCAGAGGATGATTCCGATGCTGAATTTGATATGCATGTTGCCTTGTCAGGAACGAAAAATAGAACCATCTGGGTAGAGTCGCATATAAAACAAAAGAAAACTTGTGGCGACTTTAATTTGTATCGTGATTTGTCATCCAATAAATTTGCACAGTATTTTAGGAGAGGGAGGGTGGGGGAGAAATGCTCGTGCACACTTGAGCCGGAGATCGGGCAGGCGTTAAGTGAAAAGTTGAACATTCCGTATTAAAAATATATACTAATATGCTTAAATATATCCCGTCAGACGTAGTGCATTCATTGAAGCGAAAAATACGGTCTTACCTCCGAATTTTTTTAATGTGAACTGATTTGCATGAAATTTTGGAATTAGGCTCATCTTACCCTTAACTTCAAAAGTGGAAATGATCTGAACTCCGCTTATTATTTTTAAGGGGTTTACACCCCTTAATGGAAATATTGACATTGAGCCATTTTATCGCTAGAAAACATGTCTAATAATAAGTGATGAAATTGTAAAGTATTTTCTAACATAATTACCTCATATTAAAATCATTTTCAACCCCTTGAAAATCTTTCAACCCTTGCAAACAACCCCTAAATTGAAAAAATCACAAAAAAATACTTTGGTATGACATAAAAAGATGTAAGTATAGAGTAAGTAATATTTTATATTTTCTATAATAATTATCTAATTTTTAACCCCCTTTCAACCCTTGAAAACTACCCCTTGATATAAAATTGTTATTTTTTTTTTATAAAATGTAAAGGATTTAAATATTATTCCACACTCTCGAAAATGATTATCATATTCTTAAGCTTTTCTACCCTTAAAACTACCCCTAAATTAAAACAGTAAATATATATGATTACATATTTAGAAATAATTTAAATTAGAGTAAAAAATTGCCATTTATTGAATAAAATATTTACTAATTATATAAAATTGTACTATTATTATTAAAATATAATACTATTTATTCATGACTCAATGTCGGAGTCGCTGTCACATTCAACATCTTCTGGCTGAATTGGAGGGCTATTTTGGCAGTTATCTCCACTGCACGTTGCACAGGTACTATTACAACTTTTAAACAGACCAACTTTTCTGCATCCGCAAGACGCTCCACATCCTTTTTTGCAGTTGCAAAAAATCATTTTCAGCAGTTCTTGTGGTGCGGGTGGATCTACAGACTTAAGTGGATTTAATAAACCGTCATTCATGACCCACCCCCAATCCGTTGGATGAATGATGATGATGATGATGAAATGTGTTATATATACATATAAGAACGTTGGTATGTATTCATGCCTACGTTTCCAAAATATATGAGCCATATTATGTATATATATACACATCACAATAGTTGTGGGTCTCTATTATACTGCGTACTTTCACATTGCTCCAAATATTCACACTCCGAAATTTTCAGTTACTAAGTAGAAAAAAATATGATAAGTTTTTGGACCATAACTCCTTCAATTTTCATACTATCACAATTTTTGAAAAACCATTGTAAAGGTAATTAAAAGAGCTACAACATCTTTCATTGCAATATATATTAAAAAACCATTTTCTAAATCGGTGAAGGTCTGTGGAGCGTCTTGCGGATGCAGAAAAGTTGGTCTGTTTAAAAGTTGTAATAGTACCTGTGCAACGTGCAGTGGAGATAACTGCCAAAATAGCCCTCCAATTCAGCCAGAAGATGTTGAATGTGACAGCGACTCCGACATTGAGTCATGAATAAATAGTATTATATTTTAATAATAATAGTACAATTTTATATAATTAGTAAATATTTTATTCAATAAATGGCAATTTTTTACTCTAATTTAAATTATTTCTAAATATGTAATCATATATATTTACTGTTTTAATTTAGGGGTAGTTTTAAGGGTAGAAAAGCTTAAGAATATGATAATCATTTTCGAGAGTGTGGAATAATATTTAAATCCTTTACATTTTATAAAAAAAAATAACAATTTTATATAAAGGGCTTAAGAGAGGCTGTGATTGCGCTGCCACGCGCTCTTTAAACAATCATATCTCCGTCAATTTTATTTTGACAGAAAAAACAAAAAAACCAAATTGTTTATCAGAAAAATACCTAAATTTTTAAATCGTACACTTTTATACGTATCTGGCGTCATTTTTGAGATATTATGAAAAAAAAGTGGGATTTTCAAAAATTTTGAAATTTTGGTTTTTCTTTTAATCGTAACTTTTTTGAAAAATATGTGTCCTGAAGCAGCCAAACTGATACTACATATCCAACTCTTCATAATAAAGTTAATTCTAGGCGGAATACGATTAATTTTAATTTTGGTGGAAATGGCACTTAAGGAACCCATTGATTTAAAAGAAAAAAACATTAGATGCTTCCCTTATTTGAAATACAGCTCACTTATTTTACGTGCAAAAGACTTAATAGTGCTCATTTTAAAGCTTATTTCAAGCACTACAAAACCTTTTTATATTAGAATGCATAAAATGCATCTGCTCGCCGCTAGATGGCATTGACCACATCGATTAAATTTCAGACAAAATAAAAAACGGCTTTGATCTTTAATATCTAGCTTAATATTGCACTTAGAATACTTTATAAAAAACCAAATTGTTCTTTGTTTTAACTGCTACAATTTTGTGTTTTATAAAATTTTCGATAAAACTTATATTTTTGGAGATATTTGCAAAAAATCGATGAAAAACGGGAAAAAAATTTGAATTTTCAATTGCCAGTAACTTGAAAAGTATTGGATTTTTGAAAAACATTATAGATGATTTTTTGCTTAAAATTAGGCTTTCTATCGATATCCGAGGTAATTTTGAAAAAAAAAATCACCCCCAGGATGGGGTGACAACCACCCCCAGGATGGGGTGACAACCACCCCCAGGGTGGTTGCGGAGTTCAAATCATTTTCAGTTTTGAAGTTAGGGTAAGATGAACCTAATTCCAAAATTGTATGCAATTCGGTTCACAGTAAAAAAATTCGGAGCAATAATGCTTCAATGACTGCACTAACGTAGCTATAATATATATTAATATATCGAGATAATATATTAAACAAACTACCACATACGGGAGCTGTACTATAATATATATTTTGGTAGGCCTTCAGTGAAAAATGGAACATTCCGTATGTAAAATATGTTGTAATATGTCTTGCTATGATTCATATTAATATATATTATAGCTACGTCTGTGATGGGCTTAATGCTTCCATATCATTTCTAATCATGACCCGCCCCCTATAATAGCAGATGGGGGCGGGCGTATCATATAGAGTGTAGTGTCGTCTCTCTGTTGTGTGTGTAACGCGTACGTCCGTGTGTATAGTCAGCGCGTTCCACCTGAAGTACGACGAGATGAAGCTGGACGCCAACGTGGCTCGCTGGGCGGTGACCGTGCTCAACCTCAGCCGCACAAAGCGGCATCTTGACCGCGCCGTCCTGCTCGGCTTCTGGGAGACACTCGACAAGTAAGTGCTTTTATCCTCACTGGTGGTCGCCCGCGGCTTTGGCCGTGTTAACTTTAGTGATAGAGTTCACGAGATGAAGCTGGACGCCAACGAGGGCACTGGGCGGTGTCCGTGCTCAACCTTAGCCGCACCAAGCAGCATCTCGAGCGCGCCGTCCTTCTCGGCTTCTGGGAGATGCTAGACAAATAAGTGCTTATATCCTCACTAGCGGCCACCCGCGACTTCGGCCGCTTTAACTTTAGGGATAGAATTCACGAGATGAAGCTTGGCGGTGACCGTGCTCAACCTCAGCCGCACCAAGCGGCATCTCGACCGCGCCGTCCTGCTTGGCTTCTGGGAGACACTCGACAAGTAAGTGCTTTATCCGCACTAGCGGCCGACCGCGACTTCGGCCGCGTTGACTTTAGAGTTAGAGCTTACGAGATGAAGCTCAGCGGTGACCGTGCTCAACCTTAGCCGCACCAAGCGGCATCTCGACCGCGCTGTTCTGCTCGGGTTCTGGGAGACACTCGACAAGTAAGTGCTTTTATCCTCACTAGCAGCCGCCCGCGGCTTCGGCCGTGTTAACTTTAGTGATAGAGTTCACGAGATGAAGCTGGACGCCAACGTGGCGCGCTGGGCGGTGACAGTGCTCAACCTCAGCGGCATCTCGACTGCGCCGTCTTGCTCGGCTTCTGGGAGACACTCGACAAGTAAGTGCTTTTATCCTCACTAGCGGCCGCGTTAACTGTAGTGATAGAGTTTACGAGATGAAACTGGACGCCAACGTGGTTCGCTGGGCCGTGACCGTGTTCAACCTCAGCCGCACCAAGTGGTATCTCGACCGCGCCGTCCTGCTCGGCTTCTGGGAGACGCTAGACAAATAAGTGCTTTTATCCTCACTAGCGGCCGTTCGCGACTACGGCCGTGTTAACTTTAGAGTTAGAGCTTGCGAGATGAAGCTCAGCGGTGACCGTGCTCAACCTTAGCTGCAGCAAGCGGCATAGCGACCGCGCCGTACTGCTCGGCTTCTGGGAGACACTTTACGAGTAAGTGCTAATATCTTTATACCAAGAGGAGCATAGCGAAGTTTCGCATAAATTGGAGTGCCTTTTTGGAGAATCAACCTCCACCTTGCAGAAGACAACAATAAAATAACAGTACCTTTTGATGGTGTTGCGTTTCAGTCGGTTAGGTAAGGTTCCAAGGCTCCACGGGGTAGGGGATTGGGTACAGGCAATGGAGCGAGTAATATTTTTTGTAGAGCAAGTGTCTTTAGGTTATGGTGGCCGTTTACCATCACGCGGGCCATATGCTAGTTTGCCACCCTTTCAACATAAAAAAATCTCGTGTAGTAATTAAATGAAACAAATTGTTTTTATGGCCTTCGAAAGGCAGGCGAGCGGATGGGCCACCTGATGTTAAGTGTTCACCGTCGTCCATGCACAACAACAATGTCAGTGACACAGCCGTGAGCCGATTGTCGTAGAACACTATAAGCCTTAAAAATAATAAAAATAGTACCTACTTCGTATCGTAAGAGCCAATTCATATTAGTGACGACGACCTCCGTGGCCGAGTGGTTTATACGCCGGGTTTCATGGTGTCGCCGATTCGGGAAGTCCCGGGTTCGAATCCCGGTGTACAATATATGTATTTTATCCGTTACCCTAGTATCCCATAACACAAGCCTTACAGTGCTTAGTTTGGGGCTAGGCTAATTGGTATGTGTTGGAAATATTTATTATCATTATATTGGAACGGCAGCGGCCGACAACTCAAAGAGGACGCGCAGCCGCCCGCTAGGCCGGCATCACGGGATCTTTTCGAGGTTTTCAATCGGTACCGGTCTTTTAAATATGTTGTTAATAATTTAAATTATTTCACCTTAAAAAAAGTGCTGTGTCGCAGCCGGCCGCTGCTCTTCCGTTGTGAATCGGCCATAACGCACGCACTTTCGAGTAGTGTTGCGCGAAATATAATTAGTAGTTACATTTCGAATTAAAAGTAGTAATCCGTACTATAATGGGAAAGTGTGTCTGTCTGTCTCTTGCCTTTTATGGCTTAAACTACCGAATCGAGTATATTGTGTAGTATACATATATGTAGTTTGAGTACCAGGAAAGGACATATTTAGTTTTTACCCCCCTGGGTGAAAGTTAGTATGGGATATCAATTTAACCAGAGGAATTCGCGATGTGAAATATTACGGATGGCATTTCCATAAACATGAAAGTGTTTTTTTATTGAATTATCATAAAATAAATATTGAATAGTCTATATTTTCATACGTATAACATGAAAACGTACGACATATTTTCGTATTCATTGCCACTGCCACGTTAATGAAACTAAAGCTATAAATTACATCTTCCTTGAGTATAACGTACTAGGAACATCAAAGATCTGTTTAATTATGTGTAGAGAACGGGCAGCAACATTGATGTATAAATTAATTAATGAGGATCATTAGTTATTATCTATATCGGAACACGCCACATAGACTTATTTGGCACCATCTCAATACTAGATATTATTTACACATAATAAGTAATATAAAGACGTTTGTTTAGATTGCTCATTGTAGAAGAATTTTCAATAGTAATTATATGGGATAATTTTCGTATTATTAATTTGAAATATTTTTTTACACAACTTTATAACGTATTAGCAACACATATATTTCTGATGTTAAAAATAGTCCTTATTAGGAAATTATCTTTTGAATACATATATTGTTTCAAAGGATAAAAAATAGTTCTTATTAAAAAAATATCTTTAGAATACATTTACTGTTTTTAAAGGATTAATAATAATCCTTATTAGCAATCTTGACAATACATTAATTGTTTTTAAAGGATAAAAAATAGTTCTTATTAACAAATTTATCTTTAAAATATAAAGTTTGCTGCTATCAATATATTTATGTACATAAATGCAGAATATCAATTTTTATACTTGGTATCACTTATCTTGTTGTCATTCTCGTCACAGTGAAATGCTAATGTTTAAATTTACTTTTGTTTCAGGCACATGATGAAAAATAAACCGCACCTAAGGTTTTAAGTCTGTTGTAGCTATATACAAATTTTATCTTATAGAATATTATAATAGGGTGTGAATATCTAAAGCATTTTCAAAAAGCAAAGCGAATCTAAGTCAATTCATACCATATAAAGTATACTTTGGCCATCCATTGAACATCCCACCTAACAACTCTTTAGTAATGTGTATGTTTATATCGTGCTTTGGAAAGCATGTTACCTAGTTTTTTGATGAAATTTTGTTGATTGCGTTTGGTGTCGAATTCTGAATACCAGTAAAATAATTTATAGTCGTTATTCTGATGTAAAATCTATTTTTTTTTTGTGTCTTACAAATGTCTACGCAACTAGACAATTAGTGAAATTAGACATGTAATGGAAATGACAATTATTTTTTGGTAATTTGGAACTTTCACATAAGTAAAGCGGGATTCTTACTTCGAAAACGGAACATAATAAATTATGAAAAAATCATCAGTAATTTATCTATTAACTTACGCATTCAAACAAAACTCATAAATCCTAATAGGAAAAATTCCACACGGACAAGTTTTTAGACAGGATTTGAATCCGCTCCTTCCGAATAACTGAAACCTGGACCACGTGATTTTTTTTCTAGTAAAATTTTCTTTGGATTTATGAATTTAATCACCCTAAACTAATAAGACATCAAATGTTTAGTTAGACATTGAGATTTGTATTCCTCTTCTTTCAAACCACCCCGTAGAGTCTTCCCCTATAAGCGAGTTAAGGCGTGGGATATTTAATTTTGGACTAAAAATCGGGACGTCTGCAACTCTGCTTCCATTCGCATTCTCATGTATAAGAAAACCTTTTGCCATAATAGATTTTATACCAGTTAGCAGTATTTCTACTGCTGTACCTACTGCACCTCCTCCTAGTATTTCTTTTGACAATCGCCCATTTGCAATGACCAGTATGATATCTCAAAAACCTTGTTTTTACAGAAAATGACTTTAAATATATACTTCGTCTACGTTTAAAATCTTAAAACCAAGGCTTTTGAGATATCAATGCACTGTGGGCGCATAGGCGAAATACAAAGAGGCGGTCGTTGATCAGGTTGACCAAATGACATTAGGCTCTAATGTCATTTGGTTGTAGCTTCATATAACAATATTGTACTTCGGTTTATGTTAAATTAATAAAAAAATAAAAACTTCATCATTGTGGGCGTGGCCGAATAAATATATTTATAATTTTTTATTCAAAAAGTATTTAATGTTTTTCACATAACTTTATTAAAATTAGTATTACATATATAACAAGTAAATTCAATAACTATAAATGAACTAGTACAATCATTTCTATCATTGGTCGGAGGCCGGTAGTTCTGTGTTGTCATTACACCGACCAAAGCTACGTTTCACGAATGGAGCAGTTTTTTATACTTGTCTTTTATAAGCGATTGGGCGATGAAAAAAGTACTCTATTATAATACGAGTTTATACTCGTTTCCGTGAACAGAGTATTATAGATGGTCCATAGGTATTGAAGTTGGTTAAGTGTAAGACACCCCTTCCCTGCTTTTTGTCACGAATCGTTCCATAGGTATATAAAACTTCGTGTCACTGTATGACATCTATTGTATTAAATTAGTAACTAGCACCCACCAAATTAAACAAACGAATTCAATGTGTGTATACAATTTCGTGACTTGTGGTTGTAATGCTGTTAACTGTGTATTCATATTATTTTACGTGGCTGTACATACTTTAATTATGCACGTTTTTTTTTATTTTCATTGTCAAAATTGTAGTTTGAGGAAATATACCGTGTAATTTGCAGGTATTAAAATGTGCAATTTTATGTGTTGACTTGTAATTCCACAAGATGCCTAGACTCTAGTTTTTTTATTCGAATAGGATAATGATAGTAGACTTCAATAATTTTTATTATTACAAATTGTTTTACTAATTTATTAAAAAAATATCATCGAAATCAGTAATTAAAAATATACTGAAATAACTTCTCAGTATGATATTTATTTTAGTATGTTGACAAAATTGTACTCGAATGCTTAATCTAGTTCAGCGTTCTCATATTTGTTTCTCCTATAAAATGTTTCACATTAATTATATAAAATGGTAAAATAATATTTTAATTTAATTAGTATTACTTATTGTATTTATATACCTAGTGTATACCTATTCTATTTGAGCAGAAATATATGTATATTTTCTTACCAATTTTCTCTCTGTACATCTTCTTTTTGTAAATTAGGCATAGTATAGCAATAAATTACCTAGCTTGGCCAGAATACTTTACATGGTTATGAAATGTTCAAAGATCTGTGATCTTTGTTTTTTTCCACAACAATAAATTGTTGAAAATAATGTTGGGTTTTATTTGTGACAAATGATTTATAACGCAATTTAATGTTATATGCAATTTCGTAATTACGAGGAAGAACTGGAAAATTGCAATTGAGGGTAGTTATACACATAATCGGGCAACAAATCGGGTCGGCTTAAATTTGACAATGAAGAAAAAACCGAGCGATGACGTCCGAAAGAACCGACCCGATTGTTGTAATTGCTAAGGGTGGGCTTTTTCGTTCTGCATGTACTGCCGAAGCTAGTGATTTGTCGACCCTAATGAAACCGAACAAGTGCATTAATTACATGGGGTCGGCTCTGTTGTTCGACAAATACTGCCGAACCGACTATGCCGGCCCGATTATGTGTGTAGCTACCCTGAGACTCGCGCAGGAAGGGTTCCTTATAAACTTGAGGCATGTTTTTCAATCAAATCGGTTTGTAAAGATTTTCACGCAAGATTCCTTTACTTTTATTGCTTACTAAATTTCATGATTCTATGTCTACGGGAAGTACCCTGTGTGTCAAAACAGCGGCATAAATGGAGCATACACACCTGCAACTTTTGTTTGCATTGATTTGGTAGTTTGATTTTTTTCAATGCTCTAACGAAATACAGAGCTGAGTATCCTCCACGCGTTCTTGAAAAAAAAAGAGTTGACAGCCGGACAGAGATTAATAAGGCTGGTTTGACAGCTATCCGGGAGACTCGTACGGGCGCCCGGAGCGGGAGCACATGTTAGGCGCACCAATCCGCGTCGCTGTGAAACGATGTTCTAGCGCCTAACATGTACTCCCGCTCCGAGCGCCCGTTCTGACAGCCCGTACGGGTCTCCCGGATAGCTGCGAAACCAGCCTAAAGGAAGGATTGTGTTCCCGTACGTCCGTAAAGATCCGTTTTGTCTATTGAGGTTGAGGCTTTTATAAGTCGAACTGCCAGACCTTCGTTATTTTATAAAAGCTGATAGTCTCACCTCATCCCAGTTGATGTTAAATGGGAAAAGTCGCAAATTTAGCTAATTAGGTAAGCAGCCGCGATAACCTATAGGCGCTGAACCACAGAGCAAAATATTGCAGAGTTTAATATCCGTTGTATCAATACGGTTTTTATTTTTCGGGAACGGCAGTATATTAGTGCTGCATTACTGTCTATATTTTATTGTGATGAGCAACAAAGGGCTAGGCGCTAGGTATAGCCTATATAGCGCTCTTTGTTAAAGTTTATATTTGTTCGGCGTGTGAAGATAATATTACCGCTGCGCTGAGCCCTGCTCCAATAACCTCATCGTTTGAAGGACAATAGAGGAGACGGGCAATGTTTTTTTCCATACAAACAATCTCGACTGATTCCTCCTTGATTTTTATAACATAAAAAAATATTAAAATACATAATTTATAATTATATAAAGAGAGAAAAGAATATACTGACTGACTGACTCATCAACGCACAGCCGAAACGGCTGGCTGGACCTAGAATGATGAAATTTGGACAGTAGGTTCCTATTATTGCCTACACAGCCTCAAGCGTGAAATTTTGAAATAACTTTTGTTCGTAAAATCTTATCCCTTGGATTAATCATTCCTAACATTAATTATTATTAATAGATGTACACTAAGCCTGTTGCATAACATTTTTACAACTATCCTCAAAAAATTTCATGTCAAAGTTTGTATGGAAGATCATCCAAAAGTGCATAGAATTAATTAAAAATTTACACACCTGCTCTGTTTAAAATAAAAATGCTATCGGAGTTTTCATTTTTCAAAACTATCCTCATAAAGCAAAGGTATAGCATGTTGAAGTTTAAAATAGTGCGTCAACGCGCGCCAACACTTTTGGTCGTAGAGACATGATATTTAGTAAATAGCGTTATTTAAATGACGTAGGGATTAAGCGAGAAAAGATTTTTTAATATTCCACCGTAAATTGGGTGATATAGGGGTTCAAAGTTTGTATGGGAAAACTAGTTTCGCTAGCTTGACAGCTTTGAAACTTGACTTATAAACTAAACTGAAACTAAAAAACAACTATTTATTATTATATGTGTAAAATTGCTATTACATCTAATTTTCAATGAGGAAATCATGGAGAGCCGAACTTGAATTTTGTAATTTTATACGCAATTTTCAGCGTTAGCTACTGTTGTCCCTATCGCACGGTGTTTGCCGATGCGGGACTGCAATAGTTTTTCAAATACCTATTTCTCAAATGTCTCTCAGACTCAGCTCGCGTCCGCTCTTAAGCTCCCGTATCCTCGTTATCAGTGACTGGTATTTGATACACTCACATGAGCAGATCACAGAGGAACCGCTGCGCATTATGATCAAAGGTGTTAAATAAAAAACGCCATTGTGGATTTTGTCTTTATTTAAAATTTTCATTTCATTTAATGGTAGTGTATAACAATAAATATTTCTGTTCTCTTTCAGAGATAAGTATATAGAATTAGATTATATTTATGTAATTGTTTCTTGATATTTTTGTACACAAAATAAAACCATTAGCTTTACCCATAACAATATCACATCGTTAGAGGTGTGTATTTTTATGTGCCCGTGATTACGTTGTTTATTTTTGATCAATTTATTAATAATAACTGCCCGTTCACTTATTATATTAAAGCGGACTTGCATAACGAAATCCTAAGCATCTGAATATCAACAATTTAATATCGTAACAAAACAAAATAGCTTTAAAAATTCTCTCTGAACTTTATTTACAATCAATAAATATAAAAATATCTCCATTATACTTATATCGACAGCGTCCTTCTGCCCCGGCAAGGAATGATAGGACCAAATTTTACCGGTCGCAAAATTCAACTGTCTGTAAACTGTAATTGTTAGAAAAAACACACTCAAGTCTTTAAAATGGGATAGATGATGCTTTAACCCCGTACATAATTCAGTTAATTTTAACAGACTCATTTAAAAGCTCTCTCATATTTATACGATAGTTAAGTATTTATTATTTTGCCGCAGAAATGTTGCGCACGAACAAGGAGGAGTTAAAAGCTTTAAATGTATATCTACCCCATATATTTATAATGTGAGATTACAACTGCAAACGTATAATTATTCAAATCCAACTAAAGCTAAAATATTTTCACGTCTAAGGTTGTCTATTATGAGAAGATGAACTACGGACTATGAGTTTAGCACAATCACTCATAGTGATATAACCAGTCAAACCCACGAGAATAGCCTAAATTGAGAAAGAAAATACCATATTTATTGGCATTTTCATTTAAAATAAGTTTGGTACTTTTCAATAACGGATTTTTCCGTTGTTCCTTCTCTTAGAATCAAAAATACGAAAGCATAATATAGACGTGGCTATGCGGTTCTCGTTTAGCATGACCATCCATAGGAATGATTCGTGCAAACTAATGAAATGAGCAATGAGTTACTAATCTTCTAAAATTTCACAAATTTTGCCTTTTGGCGACTCAGTAAACCTAGAAAACTTGTAAAAATTACTAAAAACATGTTTCACTTCGATTTTATTTTCAGATGACTCAGATTTTTAGAAGCAACCAATGGCACCTCGTCATCGTCGTTTATCTATTGATAACAAGCTTTAAAGTTCTTGAGAGACAATTAGGAACTTACCTATATAAGTATATATATCAAACAAAAGCAAATAAGAATGCAACCAATTAAGTAAAATTATAGATACTGAAACAAAATGGGTATATGAAAGTAATTGTGCATCCGCACCGCAGTTAGTTTTTATGGTGCAAGTTTTCCATAGTTTTATAGTCAGTATGTATTTTTGGACTTTATTGGAGTTTGCTCCTTAAGAATCGATTTGCATATATAAGGGGCCCGGTATGAGAAAAATGTGAGGAGTAAAATCTATCGATGAATGACCTCGTTACGTTTTTGGTGCGCATCCTATGTCGCGCAACTTTGACAAACAAAGATGACGGATATTGACATTAATAAAATTTTTAAAATCTGAACTGAATTTAGATATTGTTTCTGATAGAGCAATTGGGACAATGAGGTATGGTACAACCATTGATGCGGTATTTTCAAGATTCATGAACCACGTATCTACGAACGTCCATGTGTCTTATTTTAGTTACCATTAACCACTTGTCACTGTAATTAATAATGCAGACAATGTTGATTTAATTAATATTTAAAAAAATGATAATAGTCTGATAATAATAATTACATAATTTATCAACATTCCTAATGATATATTTATGCACATCTGAAATTGACTATTGTAAAAAGTTTAATGTAAAATATTTCGTCGATTAGTTACAATAAATGTATATGAAATGAATAAATATATATTTATATATGTATATTATTTTCATTAATTTGTTAATTTACCCTTTCATACAGTATCAATCTTTTTTAACTTAAATAAACTCTTTTTGCGTCTGGTTAGACTAGACTATCGAACTTAAGGAGTAAACTCCAGTCGTGCGTCGGAGCTGACACACACATTTTTTTTTCTTAGTATTTGTTGCGGTATTACATATTATAATGTTATATAATGTTGCCTTGTACCTATTTGAAAACAGTCAACATATATTGTAGTAACAATCGATAAAATTTATCCTAGACTAGCCATTTGTTATGTGTAGTTGCGTGTTGCTGAAGGAAATTTCAATTAAATTCATGTTATTAGCGGTATCGATGCGATGAAAAAAAATTAACAATGATATATATAATAAGTAAGCACAAAAGCAAAAGTTACTGTTGTTTAATGTTGCTCCAGAAAAAATAACTGCACTGCAGTTGACCATTTTATTGTAGGTATACCTACTGTAACGCCTCCTTGCTAACGGAGTCACAACAAACCATTGTATGAAATAAGTAAAATATTAGTATCAAATCGTATATATATATATATATATATATATATATATATATATAAATAAATATATTGGCAGGTGTATATTTTATAAGCTGTTTTTGAAATAATTCCACTGTAAAGAGGGTGGAGTATAATGCACTTCGACACGTCGAACAAATTAACTCAAAGAAACAATAAAGGTTACACGTAAATTACAAAGAAATCAATTTATTTATTTAAAAAAATATTTTTTTCTTTTATGCACTTCACACAAACAGAAGAATCTGTTCAAGTCAAAATATTTGGTACCTAAGTATTTTACAGCAATTCTGTAAAATTGACATTGGTTTATTGGTATGAATACCAAGAATGGTCAATTCTTAAAATCGAATCTGTAGATCGTTCGACGTAGCGAATGCAAATATGAATTCACATTAAAGTGACAGACATAAAAGGAATTAAGATGTTTTCAGTCATAAATAATATTAACAAGTCTAATGTTCAACAATGTCAGACAAAATGTTTTTGAACTACTCCATAAAGGGTTTATGTTTTGATAATGCATCTATATAAAATAATAATGCAAATGGAACATGATCCACATAAGAAAATAAGTATTTTAATAACTACCTATCTTACAAAATGATAATGTCTATTTTTGTCACAAATGCTCGTTTTAAAGTCCAGCCAGACTTCTAGTATTCAAACGTTGTTGAAGTTGGAACCACTTCCAGCACCATTTGCAGGAAAACGGTTATTTTGTCTGAAAAAAAAAGATCAATAGAGAATAAAAAAGAAGAAGGATAGAAGAAGCCATAGTTAATATAGTACATAACTACTTTATTGTTGTAGATTGGAGAGCCTGAGGGCGTATTCTAAAATAAAATTTCGATGTGTCGTGAACTTTGCCGTGTCGTGGCATACACTGCGCCTATGGCATAATAGGATGGACGACGATGACGATCACGATGTTTCGAAAGTCTACTGGCTATAGGACTGATCTGATTTTCAACTAAGTCTTTACAACTAAGTACTTAATGCTTCTCATTATTTTGAGACACCACATTTACTAATAGTAGCGCCACAGATTGTGGCACGTTCAGTCTGTGATTGGAGAGGGTTCAGCAAATTTTCGCAAATGCAACGTCTTTCTATATATTATGAAAACACCCACCAATTTGCATCAGGTCTTCATGGTGAGTTCTATTTCTTTGTATATTCATTCAAATAAGAGAGAAGAACCGTATGCTGCACCAGTGGGAACAATGATAGACTGCTAAATAAAGCTATAACTGAGAAGTCTGTGTTAAATGATACCCACCCATGAAGGGCAGCGAGAAGCCCCACTTGACGAACGGTATGTAGACGAGCAGGCCGGCCAGGATGAAGGCGGCTGCGTACAAGTACTCCCATTGCGGCTTGTCCAGGATCGGCGCCACCACCAAGTACGTCGATACCAGCAGCACCACGTACGGTATCACTATTGGCACCTACGGATATTGACAAGGTTATTATCGTGCCTACAACATTCTGAATCTATGTCGATTCTGCCTTGTTTCTCTATACTGAAATATAAAATTTAACAACAGCCTCTCCTTGTCATTCCGTATAAAGAAAAATGTTGTCAAATTTTATTTTAGGTTTAGAGAATCATCACAGAATCGACACCAGTGTCACATTAAGTGGTTTTAGAGGCTCTTGAGCGGAGGAAAATTTTGCCGCTCCCTAACATATAGATCATTGGCTGCCCTCGGTACAAACTATTAAAGGAAAAACGGATCGGTTAAATGTGTTTGTAATTTTTGTTTTGTGTGTTTTTAAATTTGCATTATAATAATTAAAATACATATTAGATGATCTAGAAATAACAAAAGAGAACGACGACCTCCATGGCCGAGTGGTTTGTACATCGGGTTTCAAGGTTTCGCCTACTCGAGAGGGTCCCAATCAAAAAGGTAATGGATATATAATATGTATTTCTATATAAATATAGTTATATATATTCAGTATATGTATTCTATCCGTTGCCCTAGTATCCCATAACACAAGCCTACAGTGCTTACTTTGGGGCTAACTAATTGTTGTGAGTGTTGGAAATATTTATTTTATTATTATTAGAAACTAAGCCGGTTTCTGAAATAGGATGACTTAAATTCCTTATCCGCAGGCGGGTCTTTAAAAAAAAAGAAAGTTTTAATATTTATCACATCGATAGTGGAAAAACGCCACTTTGGTCGAAATTGAGTTACTTAAATTGTTATGGTACCCATAGCAAGCGTATGTTAGCTTTGGTGGCAGTTTACCATCAAATGGGTCATATCATGGAGCAACTACAATTTGATAAACAGTCAAGTATTTTTCACAAAAAAACCTATGTACTTTTTCTATCAAAATCTACCGAATGAATATTGAAATATATGAATATTGAAGAGTAGCATTTGCTACTCATAAGGTATAAAAAGTGAGGTTAAAATTGTCTCTGACTAGTTTTCTTGGTAGCAAACTTTAGCCTGATGTTAGGTACTACGATTTTTTATAAAAGTCAATGGGGTGTCTCCGTGGTATCATATTAACATATTCGATTTACGTTATGCCATTTTTTTGTAAACCAGACCGCGTCTTGATTTTGAGAACCACGAACCAATTCAACTACCGTACATGTTAGTAGTAGCTTCTTTGGGATGGCTCACAGAATATTCAACAAGGTTCCGAGTTGTCTTAAATCACTACCGATAAAGACTTTTAAAAAACGTCTGTTAGCATTATTAGTTGAAAAAGCCTACTATACAGTTGAGGAATTTTTAAATGACAAATCTTGTAATTAAATCGGACATGTCTTTTATAAAATCAGTTCTCTATTATAAAATTTAGACATATTAAAATTGCCAATTCAGAAATGTGTATTTATTGCTATTTTGGACATTTTGCTTATTTTTCTATTTTTTTGATTATTAGTATGACAACTTTATGGCTTATCAAATTTATAATTAATTTATAATCTACTTTGACCATATCTATTTGTATACCTTAATTAAGGTGGAAATGTAGTGATACTAACAAAAATTTTATATACCATGTATACTAACCTACGTTTCACAAATAAAATTCTGATTCTGATTCTGATTCTGAACTATATATTGCTTATGCCTAGGTCACACTCATCGCGATTTTCCGAATATTCGGAGTATCGCGATGTTTGTAGCCAAAACCTTTGCAAAGACTTCGGCTCGACTCTTCGGACGAAGCCGATGTTCTTCGCTTTGATGAACTTTGCTTATACGTGGCCAAATTTCAGTCGGCGCACGGGCATCGAGCGAAGTGGACACGAGACGGTGTAAATCTATGATGATTGGGGATACCGAAAAAAATTTAAAAGCAATTATGAGAAGAACCTTTTTATTGCTGCCCCTTCCGCCCGGATAACAGATGGCGCAGATTCGAATTCGAATCTATCTGATACCTAGACAGAGTGGATTTTTTCTTTATATTTATAAATATTTTTATAAATAATATTTTTTTTGTCGCGTTTAAATGCTTTGTCCAGTTTCTTTTAAGTTTTATTGAGACTATACGCATACGCGAAATTATTGCGATGTAATTCAGTAGGCCAAAAACTAAGTATTCTTACACGAATATTATCGCAAAATGAACGTAACGTTAGTGAGTTGGCTTAAGTAATAAATGACCTTTTTCGCTGTATGTTACTGACACAGGAAGCCTAGGTGAATGAGCATGCTTCAATGGAGAAGAATACTTTACACTTGACTTAATGTTACATTGAATTGAATTGGCGTATCTGAGCGCTCTTTTTTTTAAATGTTTATGTTTTCTCTTAACTCCTATCTAGCCCGATAACAGCTATGTGATTAGCTTACTCAAAAGAAGCCTATTCGCTATGTTTTTAAAAAACGTCACAATATAAAAGCAATTGAGTTTCTTTACCTTGTACGGTCTAGGCGCATGGGGCTTCGTGTATCTCATCACAATCAGAGCGAGCATGGCGCCGCCGTAGAATATCCACGCGGTGAACGAGAAAAAGTCTATCAGCGAGTCTATCGTGCCATACAACACCATCGCAACTGCGATCAGAGACTAAAATAAAAAAAATACAATTCAGAATAAAGGTAACTAAAGTTCATATTTCACATATTTTTAGTATCGCTAAATAATGCTGTTGCTGTACTTGAAGCAAAGGAAACAATAAGATTGTCATTTCATGCAGATAATAAAAGCAAAACTTTACTAAAGAAAATAACACTACTTTTGGATAATTATGAAAGCGATACTAGTAGCCCAAGCGCTAATAGTAATAGTAGCGCTGGAGTAAATCCAAAAATCCTCGCTTCGGCTCCTCTACTATAAGTGGTCAACTTCTCACTATTATTTCATGACAAAAAGCTTTAACTGTCGGAGAGACATAAATTCATTCTATGCCAACATATAAGTAGGTAATAATGTCTTTGATGCCAATCGCATAAAGCATAGGAATTTGGAGGTCTACTGGTGTAATTACTTACATGGAATATGAGTCCAGGCGCTGGAGTAAATCGACGGACGTGTACGTATGACAGTATATCTAACAAGTGACCTTCTCGGGATGCCGCGAAACACAACCTGAAAAAAAAAGAAAAACAATTCATGATGATTTTCGTTGTTATATATAACAACTGAAAAATTTTCTTGAAAAAGTTTGTAATCTCCTACAGAAGATAGTAGAAGTAAAAGAAAAGCATGGAATGCGTTTGAACTTTGCGTAGTGCATTCTTGAAAGATTCTTTAAAAGTTGTAAATAAGTAATAACAATTGAATATAGAAATTTTGACTGAATTGTACTTTCACATCTGGGGGTCCACTCTCTTTTTCCGAACCGAACTTTCGATAACGAAATTTATACTTAATTTGAACGATAAACTATCAAATTGAAGCTTTCTTTGAATAGGCTTAGAAAATCTAAACCTCAATTTACTTATATTCCGACGACGAATATTATTATAATTAAAACGAACCCGAAATAGTAAGAAAAGTTCGAAGTTTCGATCGAAATTTCGTTTTTCGTTAAATTAGAGTAGGCCTCCTGGGCGACCAATTCAAGTGAAAGTTCCGGTGTTTCTTAACGTTTTACCTTCCAGCAACAAACAGCGTGCCGTTGGCAGAACCGAAGGTGGATAAGTGACGGCGAATGGCATGTGCCACGCCATGGGCCCGAGCAAGCTTATTTTGAATCCGCGTACGTTCGTGGCCGGATGAATGGGAAATTCGATGTTCCCTAACATTTTACCTTCCAGCAACAAACAGCGTGCCGTTGGCAGAACCGAAGGTGGATATAGTGACGGCGAGTGGCATGAGCCACGCCATCGGCCCGAGCAGGCGGTTCCCGAAGGTAACGGCGACCGCCTCACTGTCAGCCATCTCGCTGACCGACATCACCGCCAGGTATGACACGTTCACCAACGCGTAGCACAGCGTCACCAGTGGTATGCCAATTATTATACTCAACGGCAGATTCCTACAAGTCATGCGGAGATTTAGTAATACATTATTTATTTATAGACTCCTATATTTAGAATTCATGGAACATAACAATATTTTTATAAAAACAAATTAATCTACATTTTAAAGTGTTTCAGTATAAATAAATTCATCCATAGAAAATGATCGTTGCTAAAAGAGTATTAGGCGGACACGTCTTGACCATCCTACGATCAAGTCGTTGGGTTGATCCGCAGTAGCAGGCCCTTTTTTATTAAATGCTTATATTCTATTACAAAAATATGCTTTTAATAACTAATTAAAAACTTAAACAACTTCTACACATGATAGGTAATATAGAATATTAAAGTAATTTATATAAAATTTCAAATGCGAGCAAAGGAGAAGACAACAGAAGATAATATAAAAAATAAAATGGTTCTAGTCTTTCAAAGCAAAGCAAGGGAAGCAAACATCACTCACTTGGATGGATTCTTAATTTCCTCAGTGACATAGTTGAGGTTATTCCAACCGTCGTAGGCCCATAGGCCCGTGTAGAATGCGGTGGCGATGTTGCCCCATGTCGCGGTGCTACTTGCGAAGTTGGGCTCCTGTAAATGTCGCGTATTACCTGCACCATACGGACACACCACCCGTCAGTCTTTACAGATTACTTTACGTCCTGTCGTGATTTTGGTTACAATGCAATGAATAGACGCCTAATAGGTTTTTGCAGTATTTAAATCAGCTTTTGGAAAATGTTGATGTCTCTTTAATGATTGTTGAATGATGGGTACCCAGCTAATCATAACACTAGGCGATGCGATATGTAATAAGCAGTACACCAGAACTAACACTTTAATTGAGTTACAATTTCCTTACCAAGATAATATTAAGAAAACAAACAAGATTTAAATGTTAAAAAAAATGTACTCCAGATAACTTTCATGTTTTTTCTTTAAATAATGTGTATACAACACATGGTCCGACTAGTTTCCAAGTAAGAAACATCTGCTATGAAGGTAAATTTGAAATGAAATGTCGTGTTGTATGATTAGCAATAAGGACATAAGAACCAAGATAGTATTAGTGTAAGTAGAATTCTTAAAAATAATAAAAAAATATAATCGCCGAGCTCCTGTTTACTTTGATTCATTACCTAATATAAGTTTGTAAGCTCCGCCGCAGACGATAATAGCTATCGCGACAAGCTTCGCTGCTGTGAAGATGTTTTGGACGTTCGTCGCCAAGTTCACGCTGTAGCAGTTCACTGCCAAGATCATCACTGGAATGGACAATGGCATTCATAGACTTGACATTTATGAATCTAGTGAAAATACTGATACTAAATTTAATCGATGTTAAAGTTTCAATGCTAGAAATGACAACAGAGAATAGTTCAGCTTTTCTGGTCAAAAATTAATCAGCTCGTATGCCTAACCGAGTCCGTTTCTAGTGAGAAAGTTCTAAATAATTGAAACACCATATCTTACTACATATCTATCGTATTCATTGTAACAGAGATCTTACTTTTATTAAGTGTACGTCTGCAATTAGAACAAAGTATTGCCAAAAATAAAATAATATAGTAATGGTAAAAATATTGATCTAAGTAAATAAGTTTCGCTGCAATCTTACCAATAGAAATGACCGCAACTAGCTTGACGAGGCTGTGAGGCGGCTCACACTCTGAGACGAATGGTTCGACCGCATATTTGGCGAAGCTCAGACATATAATAGCCATCTGTGATGGTTTCAGCACCAATGTCGACACCTGGACATAATATATTAAACTTAAAGTTTGGTAGATAATGTAAATATATCACATTTACACAAGTACATGGGAAAATCAATCATACATGCAAATAGGAGTGATTCTCAAGGGCTGATTTAGATAACTTTTTTTTAAAGATTTAAGAGTTTTTGAATGCCTTTCTAACACTAACTTTCGAAAAATAAAATCATCAATCATGTTACACCTTAACCAGGGTACTCACCTAGAAGTATAGCATGAAATGTATCTGATACTGTATCAACTTGCAAGCGGATACAACTCATCCACGGTAATCGCGTATCGAGCTACGAGCCCTCGGATCCGCAGTGCTCGTGATAACGGTTAGGTGAGTACTCTGCTTTATGTTTTTAATTTGGCTACCTTTTTTGGGTATAGGTAGGTTAGGTAGGAAAGTAGCCCTACATTTCTAGTCTGGGCCACCATATTAATGTTAACGTCTTATCTTCTGATCTTTTTCATTTGAGCAAGACATACTGCTGCCAAGTATACAAATAGCAAATAAGAATGGTTATTTGTGATTAAGATTTCCATCCATAGAGACATAAATAGACTGATGATGATGTGATGAAATGCATAATAGCTTACCCATGAAAACAGAAACGCGGGCGGCCCTCCAAACGCATCCATGAAGTATGCGTACTCCGCGCCTGAGGACGTGTTCATTGTACCCAACTCTGCGTACGCGAGCGCTCCTATGTGTATAACAGCAATCACAATAAATACATGCAAGGATTCTCAATATAAAATTTAAAATATTTAAGTGATTGGAAAAAGTTGTATGTTTATTGTACATACTACCAAGTAGAGTCAAGCAAACATTTGGAATTTTCATGCTTTACCGACACTGCTTATTTGTTGAAATTAAGAAAAAATATTATGTATTATGACGCGGCTCAAGAAGCTTTATAATTATTATACTATCATAGGGACAACGTATACCCTGAAATAGTATAGCACGTGTAACATCGCGTGTTTAGCCCAGACGATTGATTGCTGGCATGGACAGACATTCAGTAGTGATAATTCGAATGCCTTTCTTTATGTAACAAACATTTTATGGAGTAGCTAAGTGGTCGACTGCTCTAATTTCAAAAATCATCTAAAAACCGTCGAGGTCAAAGTACTCCGCAATACAGCATGTTTAATGATTTTTTTTCAACATCACACAAGTATATAGTTTCATGTTTCTCGTGTATATCAATATTTTTTAAGAAACTGGTTTGCTTTACAGAGATACATCACTCATCGCCTTATTCCAGAAAAATAATTTACCATTTTTCCTACCGAAGTTGCTGTCAATCCATCAAAGAGTGAAACACGCTAGCGGAGCGAATGTCTGTGTACTTATTGTTTAAATTTTGCATAATCCCATCCACTTTTACATAACAAATAGGTCAAACGCATGAAGGTTACATCGCGGCAAATAAAAAATACAAAAATTTTAGTAGTTTTTTTTTCTTACCAAGCAACGAGAGCAGGCCACAAGACATCCAAATGATGAAGCTTATGCCCACTGAGCCCGTACGCTCTAACAGCCCAGAGGGCGAGACGAATATTCCCGAACCTGCGAATAAAATATTCATATTTAAACTACTGATACATTATAACGTAGTGTCGCCATTCTTTCCCTTGCGCGGTTAACAAAGTATATTGTGTGCGATACCATGGTACCAATTAAAGAAGATACCTACGTATTTGTCTTAAATTCTTTCATGGTCACGCGTCAATGGATCGTACGTCACGTTACGGTTGTCATTGGTTTGGGTCCAAGATGTCGTCAGAACGATAATAACAGGTTGAAGTGTTTGTGATTTTTATTTTCAAAATTTGATGTGATTGACATAATTTGCAGCGAGAATTGATATCATGATCTACTACTCTTAACTTACCAGGGCTAAGATTACTGCCAGGTTGAGAGAGGAGCATCAAAAAGAGGAGGGTAGTGCATAAGTGGAAGAAAAGGGAGGATGCGTTGATATACTCTGCCTATTTGGGCGCGAAAGTTAGCAGAAGGCAGAAAATTTTTGCGCCTTACACCCCTACTCTATACCACTTAGCTGAGTTGTTCCATATCTTTTCCATGCTTTTCTTTAATTCCTATTCTAGATTCAAGAAATTTCTCTGATCATATCGATGCAGAAAGACGTGTATTCGATAGCGAGTCGCATGCGTACACAAGACTATTTTAATTTTGTATCTAGTGTAATAAGTTTTCACAGAAAAACCTACCTACACCAGATACTGGTTTTATCTGGTATCAATAATAGAAATCGAAAAGCATAATACTGTGGTGTTTTCTCAAACGATATATTTATTTATAGTAACCTAGTGTCCATGTGGGTATTGCATTTATTTGCATTCGAATCTTCAGTAGAACGCTAATTTAAATGAAATTGCTATCGATTTACGTTTCTTGTGAACTTACAATAATACGAAAGTTGATATTTTTTTTACTTTGTATTTCTTTATATTTTTTTATTATCATAGAGACAGAAATACTTTGTGTCCATAATTTTATTTTACAGCGTTTCATTAGCTAAATTACTTAGTGATCAAATAAATAATAATAAGCCATTTTGTTGGTACGCTAAACTACTATCGTAAGTACTATATCCTTCAATATATAAGTAAGTGCACGAGAGGTACTGCACAGCTTCACGGCTATAATACGGCATATCCCTACTCCTTTTGAAAATTTCGTCAGATGTAGGTATAAAAACCATATCAAGTTTTCTCTAGGTAAATACGATTCTACTTCTTCCGGTTTTAATAATTTTATATGTTTGTTAGTATTTAACATATTTTTAACAACTTCGTTTTAGAGGCCCTCGATGTCATCACGGCGAAAAAAAAAATTAATCCCATTAATTTTAATACTGAATCGAGTCGAGGGCTCCTTTTATATTTTGCTTTCTGCTCCACATACAGTTGCTAATGAAAGATAAGAAGTAGACGAGGCAACGCATATTCTCATTTATATGGTTCTTAATCTCGCTAAAAGGATCCTTTATAAATTTTGAAGTCGCAAGAGGCTACAAATGATGAACAGGCACGTAGTAAAAACATTTTCACGGTTATTAGTCTGAGAAAGATCCAAGTACGAAATAACAAGTTACTCACTTGATTACTCGAAATATTGCAAATAAAATAATATCTACATTTTTAAGCAAATTTATATCAATGCGGTGTGTGAAATTTTTGTATATTAAAGTTTTATTTAAAAATCTTAGATTAAATAAAAAAGGAAAAATTCTTTATAAATATATACTCGTACAAAGTCGCTTTACTTCCACGATAGCCGACCGAACGTGTTAACCAGTGCGCAATCGAGCACCTCGGGAAATTACCTCAGAATCAGAATATTAATGTAAGTATTCTTCAACATCTATCTACCTGTCATCAACAAATTCTTGAACCACGTTTGTTCATCTATTGTTTTTAAATACTAATAGGTACTTTACGTCTATTACGAGCGTCTTGGATTAGATAAGTAGGTACTTATATCTTAGTAATGAATTACCTATCATGGTACCGACGATTAGAGCCACCCCACTGAAGAGTCCCACCCGTCTCTTGAGGTGAACAGGGTCGTCCGGAGCTGCGTCCGACCCCTCCAACTGCCAACAGAAAAATATGGCTCATAAACAAATCCAGCTTCGATAAATAGTTTTAACAGTTTGGTGAATTACAATAATAATGTTTTACTTGTATTCGATTTATCTTGAGATATATATTTAAAAAAATGGTGTCGCCTTTTTGTAATGCATTAAACAAAAAAAGTGTAAATATCGTCGAACACTCGGTGGAAACAAATTTAAAATATTTATATAACACCCACCAATCCGCACTAGGCCCGCCAAATCCCTATTCCAAAAAAAAGTATCCTTCCCATCAATATGCATTGGGCCCAGTACGCATTGGGCCCAGTGCCAGCGTTGCCAGACGTCTGGATTTTGGCGGGACGTCCCGATTTTTAAATCTACATTTAATGTCCCGAATCTCAATCCCACTTTTCGGGAATAACTCGACCGTGCGTGCAGCGTACTGAGAAAGCGCGGGCCGGTAGCACAGACAAGTGTGGACTGGCCGCCTGCCTGGCGCGAAATTAAGATAAATATTCAATAACTTATAGACGTTTTTTTAATGTCCCGCTTTCAACGAAAGAATCCCGCTTTTTTTCACTCAAAAAGTTCCTTAATCCCGACTTACCAAAAATAACATCTGGCAACGCTGCCCAGTGCCCTCCCCTATCAATCTCAATATCTCCTATTCCATAAAAAATATACCCTACCCACTAATCCGCACTGGCGCTGCGTGGTGGGTTATGGCTGAGCTCATGTTTCAATGTTTTATCACATTTCTATAATTGAAATTGACGAAGTTTCATTCAAACTTGACCTTCTTAAGTACCTACTTAGAAGTTGAATTTTGGAAACTCCTTTATTAGGTGATGCCTTCGTCATAATAACTGTCTTAGTTTAGTGGTTTCAGCTGTGTGTTGATAGTTATTTGCTAGTAGATCATTCAATTTTGCCTTTTATCTTTAAAGATTACAGACAATTACAGATTATAAACTATGTTCTATTACATCACCATTGTTTTCCAATTTTTAACTAAAATTACTTGGAAACTACAAGAACCATTATTCATATTTAATATGCTAAGAAGAATTTCTGTAGAAAATAAGCGTCAAAGTAGGTTTTATAATACTTTTGATATAAAGCTTTTTAAAGAGTCTTATAAGAGCACAGCTGCCACTCGAAATGACTCTACATACCTGCTTACGCTTATTAAATTCTACGCCACAAGTTAACAAGCCATTCATAGCACTGGCGATCTTCGTCGGCAAATAAAAGGGCTTTTTATAAAAGTCCCATATTTTCAATGAAACCTTTCACAATTTTCAATAAGATTAAGCCTCTTTTAATTGTGCATATACTTTAAAAAATACACACTTTCTGATATTATTAATGTGATTAAAACCAAATGAACTCACAACAATGTTAAAAATCTTGGTTAGTATATTCTCCGTAGTTAATAAAATAAAAAAAAAAATGGGTGCGTGTACTTATGTAGGCGCGTGAGAAGTTATCCTTCTTTGGCATCGTTTAAAATTAGTTTTTAATTGCATGCAAATAATTAATTACAATAAATTAATAAAAAGTCTGGAAAAGGACACAGTCAATAAAGTTCAGTTTTAATTTGAAAAAATAAATAAATAATCAAAATATTCAATTAAAATCGCTACTGAATATAATTTATTAGAACATATGTGATTTGCACTTGTATGAAACTCAAACACGTATTCCGAATATACAAACTAGAAACACGTGGATAAATATTATAAACTAGCGGCCCGCCCTCGCTTCGCTTCGGTGTAGAGCTGAAGTGTAGACTACAGTTTTTGTTCTCAGGCTTGTATTATACACAATGACATTCATCTATGATTCTTCTAATACCTGCATGCAAAGTCTCAGCCCGATCGGTTTAAAATTGATAAAGTTTCATACAAACTTTCATTCCTTATTTTATCCCCTTGGGATTTTCTTTATATTTTTTTCCGTAAGAACCTTGTACAGAGTATTAGAAAACTACAAAAAAAAAACAGCCAAATCGGTCAAGCCGTTTTCATGTTATGTCGTGACAACGGAAAACGGGTTTCATTTTTATATATATAGATATGAAAACAGTCTCTGTTCTAAATTCAAAACTCGTAACTTTTCCCGATGTTTGTTGCACGTGTTTCCCGCGCTAGGACCGCGAGTGGCCGCGCATGCGTACGGTGCGGCGGGCGACGCGGTAATGGCAGCGCGGCACATGAAGTTGGTCGCTTTAGCTACATTGGTGTTAATTTTTTGTGTTACATGATGCGCGCGCATCTTAAAATTTCACTCTCAACAATTTTTCAGAACGCGCCTAAAGAAGTATAACTTCAAAAAAAAACATATCATCAAAGGCATCTTGCACCAAACTTCATAAATAAATTTTCGTGTTGAAACCTCATTCTATCGATAGCTTAAGTTTAGAACGCTTGCTAGACCTCAGCTATGCCAAACTAAGTAAGTACCTATTATTTATTTACGGGAAATTGTCAATATTTCCTAATCATCCGTTCTATACTTCATCTCTCTTAAAACATGTTATTATTAATTTTATATCTAAGAATAGCCAAAAAAGCCCAAAATGTATGCAAACATTTAGAATTATATGCATTATATTATTTTAAACTTTCATGGTCACTAACATTATAGTTATATAAGTTATTTACGGGATTGTTAAATTGTCGAGTGTCTGGAATCCTGTGGTTCGTTTGTGTAAAAACCGAAATAATCGTAAAAGTGTCGTGTCGCGATGCGATACTGTAAGTGTTGTTACCTGTATCGAGTGAATAGTGAGAATGTAAACAGTGGTACGAGTATTGAACGCAAGAAAAGACTTCGTCGAAGGGTAGACCGATATGTCTGCCACTAAAAGCCTACCCGCAATATTTCAGTTACTCCGTGATCATGGCGCTTGTAACAGTGCCGAAATATCGGAAACTTGCTAAAAACAAGGTACATGGTAACAATCCCATAAATAACTTATATTACTATAATTTTATGCATTTCAATTAGATGTAAGTACTTAAGTAAAATACTTCAAAAATACATGAATTTACGTGTTGTACTCCAATCTAATAATTCTCCAATTTTTTTTATGGTGGTATATTTTTTTAGCAGTGTTACAAATTATCAAGATAATTATTTTCACGAATAATTATCTGATAATAATCCAGCAATGATTATGTAATTTGTGCATGTAAATGAAAGTTTTTTTTTTATATTTTTAAGTATTATTTTTTATTTACGTATTGTCACTCTCGAAACAAAACCGCGAAAATACTGGAGATACTACAGATTTTACCAGAACACCGCGGGTCGCTCATTCTAATATAAGCCTTATGTCGCACTTGTTTTCAACCTATGCGCGTTACCCACGGGTACGTACGTACTACGCACTCGCGGGTGCTACTTAACTCTCAATTCAACGGGACTCTTCTAGTAAAGTGCAAGTAAAGTGTTCAAGTGCGATTGTTTAAAGACTTGTATAGTCAAGTACAGTGTTTACTTAGTGTATTGTGATAATAATTGTGGGTTAAATGTGTAAACTGTGTGGTGAATAAAGTACTGTCAAGTAGAACTGGCATATAATTTCGAACCCCATCCCGACACGTAACAGTATGATAAAATCACATTTAAAATTAGAATTGGTACTTATTGAAAAAAAAACATAATCATAATATTATTCTTATTACCTGCCTTCTTTCTGCCTTTTATAATATATTTTTATCCCTTTTTTTGGTCATAAAAGTTAATGATATCATTTTCGTCATTTGAATTAGAAACTGCATTTATGTTTTGGTATTTATGCCTGGTTCTGGTTGTACTTCAGACACGTAAACACACAGATAGATCAGACAAAACGTAATTATCTTGATAATTAGCAAGATAATTTTCCAGTGTAACCCTGACGATGATAAAATCCAAAGTAATCTGTCTGAAGTCTGACCTTGTCTCCTGGGTTGGCGTTGCCATCAGCGAGCGCTCCCGCCGCGGCGTCCTCCGCGTCGAAGCCGCCGGCGCACCCGCGCCACACCAGTCCGCCTTCCCGTGTGCCCCCTGTGACAACACACAAAAAAAAATCTTAATATTATTACTTTAATTATTATTATGAGGAGTATGGACGTAGCTTTCTAGCTACGTCCTTAAGTATGTAAGCATTCTTCAGAGGTTTCTTGCCCATCTTTTTGAATTCCTATGAGGAAAGAGTGGGCAAGAAACCTCTGTCATCATCATCAACCTATAAAGCCTATCTTAGTCCACTGCTGGACATAGGCCTCTCCAAATGCACGCCACTCAAATCGATCCTGGGCTACTCGCATTCAGAAACCTCTGTGCCTACTTTGAAATTGGAGATTAAATTATACGAGATTGTAATGTGGGTTTTGCAATTTAAAAAATTATGTCAATGCAAAGTTTTCCACCTTGTGAATATAGTAGATGCGAATAAAACCGTGCTTCGCCTCACTTAGTTAATCTGAAACCGATTCCCCGACCACGTAGATAACTAGCAACCTTCACTAAAGAAAAGTTTTATATAACAGTAGTGTTCGTATTAAGGTGGGGTTTGTATTTGTAGTAAATTCCCCTACCAAACCCCAATATCAATAGCTGAATAATTATGTAGCAGTTGTGAATGTCAATAACAGTTTATTTTTCGTCAACAAAATGATAAAGTGAAAGTCTCAGTGAAAATTTCAGCTCAACTGCGTAGTTCGTCCGTCTCTCTATTTTCATCCCAAACCTAAATCCAACCATGATTGATTTTTATGATTGGATTTTACTGTAGACGTGTCACTTTATATTGATAAACTACCAAACTAGATTGGAAAAGGTTGTGAAAGCGATTTTTACCTCGGGACCAATTACCCGGAATATTGAAAGATTGCTTAATAAAGAAAATGCTGATCTAAACGAGTAAAAATTTTAGCTTATGATACATTTTTTCCTGAGGATCTTAGACGTAATTTCTTAGCTGTCTCAATTCTATTATCATAACATGAAAAATTGCGAAAACGAAAATGTTTTCCTTTTTATTGCGTTTATTAATTGTGAAGACTAGGTTATAAATCACTGCGTCATTTGTCACAAAGAATGCGACAGTAATTAATGAAGTTCAATGTGGCAAGGCAAACAATTTAATTATTATTATATTATAGACTTAATTGCTATTCTTTATAAGTCGTTGCCAATTTTTAATATTAATCTGAAAAAAAGGAATTCATGGTGTTGTATCTTATTTAAAAGTTAACCATTGGCACTCTTCTATTAAAGTATATTAAAATTTTATTTTTTTCCCGAAATATCTTATGTTTATGTATCCTAAACTTTCCTTTCAAATGTTGACAATATGTATTATTCCATTACTAACACGTGCTATGCATTTATAAATATACAAGAATTGGGTGTGCTCGGACAAAAATACTAAAATGCGCGGCGTGCCTAAGCTAATAAATTTAATACTAAAGCTGATTTCTTAAAAAAACAAGCTTATAAAGAACGCTTGCCAAAACTCAGCTATATTCGTTTTAATGCGGTTGCAAATGAGATTCACAACAATTTTTAGTCGTCGAATAAAAATTAGGAAAAGCATGAACGTGATCTGATCTGTCTCATATTACTGAATGCGCACGCACATTTATTGTTTTGTATCAGCTAAATTATATTTTAATGAAGTATTTGACTGCTAGATAGATATTTATTTTTACGGCTATGTGGTTTTAGCACAAAATACGTTCCACCCGCGCTCAAGGTTTTGACTTCGATTTACATCAACAATAAGGATCTAAGGTATTTTTTAAAACTAGTCTGGGGGTCTGAAATAGCGACAGTTGTTGAAAATATATGAGAAATGTTAATCACATCAATCACAAAAGGTCTAGTTTGTTCTCTATTTACAGACCAAAATAGGGTTTTAATCCCTAGAGACAAAAAGAGATATGGATTTCCTAATTCAAATCTGCTTTAGCACCTACGGGTGTGGATATTGTTAGTAAAAGTTCGAATCACCAAAGAGATCAATCACGAACATTTTATAAACAAGGTCACAGCTCGTAAACTGCGCGTACGCCAAATAAAAAAAAAGTACGTAAAACAATACAAACGCGCGATATACGAATATTTTTAGCGTTTTTGTTCGTAATTGCTTACTCAAATTCGTATTTATTTGGTCTCTTACCTACAAAATCCCGCGAATATATTAGCGAACTACACGGTACATAACTACTACAAAGTATATGGGGCACATCATGAAATTGAAAATTGTTTAATTGAATTTATAGTTAAAAATTCGACTTCGGGCAAGCATAAAATACCAAAATCTGTAACTCATTCCGTTTATGATCTAGAGACCGACAGAAAGACAGATGATAGAGTGACAGCAACAGAGATCCGTTTTTACTCTTTGGGTACGGAACCCTATAAAATAATATTTACTTTTGAAATAAATATAGTAATGTTTTTTTGCTAGAAAAAAAATTACCCAGTCTCCTTGGCTGTGTGAATACTTTGTAATGACATTTTCTTTAGATTTATTAATAAAATAGTTTCATGCATTAATTAATATAACATATACTTGGCAGCAGACGGGAAAAAGTGAAAGTCTCAGAGTCAGTGTTTCAGTCATCTATTTTTTCTAGTAAAATTTTCTTTCGATTTAAACATATACTTATTTAGATGGTACAATTTATTACTTACATAAGAATAGTTTTATTTTGTTACGACAGCATACAAAACATCCTGGCGAGTCAAATATTTACCGTAGCTCAAGACTCGTTTGCTACGACTGCTACGAGCTAGGGCTGCAAGAAATTGTAATTTTCGCTATGACGCGAAACTACTATGCCATTTCATATTTATCTTAGAACCAAACCATGACATGTGTTGCGATAAAAACGATATTTAATATACTAACAAAAATGTTACGGGACATTTGTGACAATCAAGTGTGGTATATTTTATTTACCAACATTTACCTATGCCATAAAGAATCCAGTGTTATTATTAAAGCCAAGTTTAATGTGAAATATACTAAAGCAGTTTTTTTTTGTAATAATAATCTATCGGGTGGTGTTCGCCGACCGATACTCAATGGAAAATGCCTACAAGCTTGTAATATGCACTACCTTATAATTAGGTTGGCATTTGTAAGAGCTCTGATCGTCTAATGGTAATGACAATGTCACAAATTTATTTTCTGCAATCGAAAAGTTAGGCTGCAGAAAGTAAGTAACATATTGAAACTGCTAAATTTGACTAATTATCCCCAGCTCCTCCGTGCTTCGGAAATCCCGACTGCATCTGGGTGCTAACGCACTGCACTGGGCCCGAGTGGTGGGACACGGCCCAATCTCCCTATTCCATTCAAAGGGAAGGCCTGTGCCCCAGCAGTGGAGACATTAATAGACATTAATAGATGGTGATGATGATGAATCTTCTAGAAGTTTAATACAGATTTTGTTTAGATGAGAAGTCCCGAACGTATTTTTAAGTTTTATTCTATTTCTTAACATATGGATTTCTTTTCCTTTTTTCTTTTAAACAATAATAGTGAATATAACATAACCTATGCCAGGTGTCCCGCGATGGCTCATATTTTGTTAAATATTACATTTTGTACACTGTGGTTACTTATTGATCATAATAAAGTCTGCGAAATAGATCACGATAAAATCGTTAATTAAATAAATTGTAGCATTGTTAATTTAGGCAATTTAAATAATTAATAATTTTCACAACAACGTTATGGGAATATTTTTTTTTTAAATCTAAAAAATCATCGAATCGAATATTATGTATTAATTTATAAAAAATAAACGGAATAAGTTGTATATTATTTTCGGTTTTGGTTCAAGTGTAATATATAAAAAAAGGAAACACAGTCTTCTTTGTGTTGATAAAATTGTTACCAACCTAAGTCTTGATCAAACAAAAACATTTGGTTGTAGAAACAAATGAAAATTGTAGTAGGTAAAGATATTTTTTTTATTAAGATATAAAATCTAGCATTTCGTTAATGTTTAAGTTTAAAGATTTTTTTTCCTGACAAATATGCACGCGGTCCAGGCAGCAGACTGTACTCGAACTCGCACCCTTTCTCCCTTTTGTAAATAGGTTACAGTACTTCTCTTAAACTTCCATTTTCACTACTTTTTCAATAAATGGTATGTTAACTTTAGTCTATTGCTGTGATCACGGAATTTAATTTAAATGTCTTACAAGTACTTTACAAAATTATTAACTTTTGCGTTAAATACTATTAAAAACAGTTTTACTATTATATATGTGTACTTATTCAGTGTACATAATGCATATGATAGGGTCTCTCTTATATCTCCACCACCTCCTTTGTGATAAAATTGTACAAATTATTAAATAAGGAAAAGTGTTATTATTTAATGTCGATGAGAGCATGAGGCACGAGGAAAATCTATGTTTTAACAACCAATCAATTCAGCAATAAATCAAAGCAAAAGTATTATAATTTTGTACAAACTTACATAGTTTGTGGTCACGTAAATAAACTGAATGATGCATCGACATCGGTGAAAAGATGGTGACTGCCCTGAGTCACGTACGCCACAGTGAATACCTGATACTGCGATTAAAGAAGTATTGTTTTCTTTGTAGGTAAATTTAACCGATCCGGTCGGGAAATTACATTAACAGCAACACCCTTGACTGCACAAGGAAACCATGTCTCCCAAATTCTTACTAACTTATGACCAATATAATTCTATTAGATCAATATTGTTTATTTTTAGAGTTCTTCCTTAATTACTTATACTTATTTATGTAACTTTTTTACGTCAAGTACCAGAATGAAAATATTTTTTGTCAATTTGTTCCAATGACGCACGTTAGGTTATAGCAGCGTCCACGACCAACCGTCGCGTCGGGAACAGTATGTCATGTGACGCCAGTATCTTTTGTAAAACTATGCTATCCTATTAGCCATTTATATTTAGATTAAGATTAGGGAAAGAAAACTTTCTAGAGCAAAATAAAATAAACAGTAAAATTGTTACAGTAGTCAGACAAATGACATTCTTTGCATTCTT